AATATAACATTTGTGCAATGTGTCTATAAATTCCAAATCCTTTCCAGATAAGCTCTGGGAGCACCTTGTATAGGAGCAGAGTACCTTTGCTATTTTGCCATACTGGTACTGGTCTTTGGGTGTGGTCCCTGAAAAGTCATTTTGGAATATATACCCTGGCCTAAAACTTCTTTCTAAACTGAGTATACATCTTAGTTCTACAGTCCAGTCTTAAGGAAAGGGACATGCTGTCCAAGGTGTTTGCCAGCTTTTCATTTACGACAGGAAATACAATTGGCTTAGGGAGAGGTCTAGGTTGTGACAGTCACAGGGGCATGGGTGTGACCAGCGGCTCTCACCGAAGTTCCCCAGGCTGTTCTTACGGGTGTCCACACACATCTCCAGCACCCTCACCAGTTGGAGGTCATCTACCCGGGCCAGGGCCTGCTGCAGAAATCATCAGGTGTCACTCCCAGTGTTCTCCATGCTTTTGGCTGAGGACTCTGTAAAGGTGCCCACTGGAGCAGGTGGCAAGTGTTCCCCTGCCTCATCCAGGCGGGGCTTGCAATAACGGTTTGGCTGGCGGGCATGACATGAGCAGAGGTTGTAACTGACTATCAGGGAAGGAGGGCTGCCAGGGAAGGGCCTGCACCCGGGGTGCCAGTCTCCAAATGAGACCTTCAGAACAGATTCAGCGATGCAGTTGGCGCCCAGAGCCCTGCTGAGCAGCACCCAGCCACAGCATACCTGGACCGGAGGACACAGAAAAACACTCATGCTGGAAGTCAAGGGGTGGGGGCCTACTGGTCTGTCTGTTCTTGTAGATGGACTAGACAAGACTTTCTTGTATGTGAAATGCAAGCATGGTCTCTCAGGACCCTGGACCACACCTGCTATGGCATCAGGGGGCACCTTGGGGAACATGTGCAGGTACTGGCCTAGCAGGCCAAACATTTATTCTGAGGAGGTCCTGGGTGATACCATCTATCAAGATTCTCTCCTTCATAGTGGCCAACCATGAGTGGGTAGCAAACTCTTAGTCCTGGGGGCTTCAGAATTGCCCAGATGGACTCTACAAAACCTTAGGACTCAGGGATGGGGTACACCAATGGGCTGTCCCACTGGATTTGGAGGAAGGTCTTTACCTGCTGCCAATAGAGTCAGCACACCAAGGACAGACCCCACCTCAGGCAGGTTGAGAGTAGACTGAGGAACTCTAGCCTTGGGAGGGGAGCCATGCACCCATGCCCTTCCAGCATCCCAAATGCTATCTTCTAGTCCTCCTTGCTACAACATTAGCTCTTGAGTAAGAGGCTTCTTGTCTGCTTGAGCACAGGCCTCCGCCAATAGTTACAGAATCCTGGCCCCAACAGCGCCAGTGATCTCAATGCCTGGGGGTGCTTGTGTCACTGGGTTGCTGGCAGGGACCCTGATGGTGGAAAGGTAGAGGGTACCCAGCAGAGGGAAAGCTGGATATCAGCAGAAAGGGTGCCAGTATGTCAACTCATGCAGACCCATGGCAGAGCCTCAGGCCCCAATCACTTACCAGCCGAGCAGGGGAAAGGTGCTCCTCCACCCGCCGCTCCCTGTGGATATCCCCATGGCTGCCCAGTCTCTTGTTTTGTGGGCAGGGGTTGTTCAGGCCCTGCCAGCTCAGCTCCCGTACCCGGATACTAGCTGTGCTTGGCCGAGGCCCCTGGGATCCATCCCAGGCTGGGTCCATCCACATCCAACCTGTTAGGAGAGGCAGAGGGCCAAATCTCCTAGTTTACAAGGCTCTACTTCACATCAATGGCCCACAAAGCCACTAGGTCAACTCTGACATCTCCCCACATCCTAGCCTGACTTGGCCTGCCCTGAGAGGCCCTGGGCAACCTCAGCGGTCTAGATAACTGGACAGCACATGTCCACTCTCATAGTTTCAACTCAAACTCCCTGCTTGTGCTAATAACTTCTCTCCATTTGCTTTAGTATTTTGGAAAAAAGGAGATGTATTTATCCGTTTTATAATTTGTGTGTGTGTGTGTGTGTTAGTGTGTGTGTGTGTGCATATTTGTTTTGTTTTGTTTTTTTAAATAAGGTCTCTCACTGGCCTGTGGCTCACCAAATTGGCTAAGCTGGCTGGCCAGCAAGTTCCAGGCACCTGCCTGTCTTTGTCTCCCCAGTGCTGGGATTACAAGCTCGTATTACCAGGCCTGGCATTTTATATGTGGGTTCTGGGGATCAAAGTCAGGTCTTCACGCTTCCAAAGCAAACAATTTACTGTATGAGCTATCTCCCTATTCCTTCATTTGGTTTTGTATTTGCTTCCCACAGCGTCCATGCAAGGAGTACCGGCTCCAGGCTTTGCCATCTTGGGCCTCACAAAGGCTGTGAGCTGGGGCTGGAAAGATAGCTCAGTGTTAAAAAGCACTTGGCTGCTCTTGCAGAGGACCTGCATTTGATTCCTAGCATCCATAGTGGATGGCTCACAAATACCTGTAACCAAGAGATCAGATGCCCTCTTCTGGCCTCTGAGGGCACTTGTGCTCTGTGGTACACACACACACACACACACACACACACACACACACACACACACACACACAAACACACACACACACACAAACACACACACACACACAAATATATATATAAGATAAAGAATAATTTTTTTTAAGGCTGTGAGACTAGGGATACTGGGCAAGATGCCTGTATCAACCAGCAAGCAAATATTACTGACAGTTCCCCACACTGCCCCAGACCCTGGCTGTGGATCCTTCTTCATTAATGATCTCTTGAGTCTAGGTTCAGGATCAAGATAGATGACATTCCCTCCAACCACCCACTTCTCTGACTGAGGCCGCACCTGCAGGTAGCTGGCTCCTGCTGTAGGTCAAACATCCGGGCAAGAGGGCCACATGTATCTACATGTAACACCTGTAAGAGAGAGTTAGATTAGCTTCCTGGCTATGTCACTGTGCTCTGTAGCACCTGGGCTGAGCTGGCCAAGGTCAGCTCAGAAGCAAGCAGGTACAAGAATGGAGTGCTGTTAGCTGAGGCCTGGTCCTGAACCCCCCTGTGACCATTTTAGTGGGGGATGAGGCTCAGATATTGAGGAAGACAGTCAGGGTCCCTCCGGGTCACCCAGTGGAAACTAAGACACGGTCCTCATCCAAATCCTGCTGCTTCTTCTGCTCCTAAAGGGGATCCTGGGTGTGGGGTTCTGAATCTTCTGTAGGCCCACCTTTCCTGAACTCCTTCCCATACCTCTGGAGAAGTTTTTTCAGGTGCCTCTACACCTCCATTCAGGTTTGGCCGACACCTAACTCCTGCACTTTCTACCTATCTTTCCCAGATACATTTTTCTAGTAAGAGTTATCTCCTTCCACTGCACTTCATGATTTATTACTTACTCAGTCCAGTGTGTCTTGCCCCACAAGATGTAGGCCCCACTCCTTGGCCCAGGTTTCCCCTAGTAAAAGGGACATGGAGAGGCGGTGCCCAGCTCTCACCTGAGGGGTGGGCCAGGGTGCCCAAGATCTGGGGCGCAGCCCTGGGCCCCTCCACCGCGGAGGTCGCTCTCTTAAGTGAGGGCTTTTTTATTTTTTCCACCGCAGAGGGGTTGCGGCCCTGGCGCCATGGCAACGAGGGCGGGGCCTCATTTGAATATCCAAATATTCGTGAGCCCCGGGCATCCAGGGCGGCGGCAAGATGAGCCCCGCCCCCTAGCAACGGTTGCCGGGACACGCGGCAGCTGCGGTGGGAGGGCTCCCCAGAGTAAGGGAGGCGAGCGGGACCTCTGGACGCAGAGAAGACACCCACAGTGGTTCCGAGTGCTGCCCCGTGAGGGGCTTCTGGCGGGCTCTGGGTTATCTGCCTGCTGGCCGCATCGACCGAGCCGAGCTCGGACCCCGGGCGACAGGTGAGCGCGCGCCCCGAGGCCTGCATCACCTGAGTAAAGCCCTGTCGGTTTTCTGAGAAGGACTTGCTTACTCGTGTCTTTGAAATTTCAAAAAGTGTTGAAAACATGTTATTTGCGTCTGACACAGATGTACCCTACTTGCTTGAGTGGTTGGAACACTTCATTTCACCCTGATACCAACTTTTCTGACTTCCGGGATCGTTCTTCAAATGGGGCGCAGTATGAGCTGCTGCAGGGTTGGGACCTCGAGTTTGGTGGAGGGAGGGGGGGTCTTCTCCAAAGTACAAGGAGCATAGTGTGATGGGCCGACGCTGCCCCGAGATGGGACCCTCGCTCCACCTCGGCCTACGGGAACAGGCAGCTTGGGGTTCCGGCGGACTCTGCCTTCCTCTGGTATCCCGCGTCCGCGGTGCTGATTGTCCCCGACGCCAGGTCCCCGTCGGAATGACCTTTCCGCTCCCTGGGCCTTTGGGCCTCTGGTGCGGCTGCAGGGTGGGGGCTCTGTGGAAGGCCCTGCGACCCAACCCGAGCGTACGCCAGTTTCTCTGCGGAGGAATCTCGGCCTCTTAAGCACCGTCACCCTCACATTCTCTTCCGCACCTCGGAACTAGGCGTCACTCTTTTGAGTGCAGTACCCAGGTCGCCACACTTCCCTCCCTGCCACTCCAGGAAGCCCCGCCTAGCTGCGGCTCCTGACGGATGGGTTGTTCGGCCAACCACAACAGGTCGAGATGAGCCGGAGCTCGACCAATCACCGGCCGTCTAGCGTTGACGGACGGGCGCGGGGCGGAGCGGGGCGGGGCGAGCGC